AGAAAACCTAGCATAGGAGTGCATCAAACTCAGTTTTATTGCCAAAATTCTAGATTGGAGCTTGATGTCAGGACTTGCCTAGTGGGTATCTCCACAGCAGGTGAAATTGGCCACCTCCACCCCTGATGGCAATGCAGAGGCCTCCCGTCTCTGGAAGAGCATTGCCGTAATTGGTCCTTCTAGGCTCACACGTAATTCCAGGGCAGCTACGCGAGATCGGAATCGAGAACTGAAGGTTGGAGTTCTCCAAGTGGAGTTCCACCAGTCGGACTCTTGACACCCCTGGGTGAGGGAAAATGTCACCTTTGTTTTGCTTTGTTTTGTTCCTAAAGTGGTTAGGCACTAATTTCTGGGCTTTTTAGGGATTGCACTACAGAAGAATGTAAACTGATGTCAATCTCTGCAGTTCTGGAGACAAACTCCCTGAGAGCAGTCAGTGCAAGATATTCAGAGAATCTGTCTTTAAAGAGTTGGCACCAGCAGGCTAGTCACTTTGTACACAACAGAGATCTTAGTATTTACTTCCCTCCTTAAAACACTTTGTAGCAGTTTCAGGTTTTTAATTTTTTCTGCAAATAAATTTAAACTACATTATTAAGTAGAAATAGTTACTTGCAACAACTTAATTTCTAAGGGTCCAAGTCCCAGAAAATCCCTAGTTGTCAAAGCTTTGAGAATATCTTCTTTATCAGTCCTTCCATATCTTTGAGGCCTGTCATCTTCCACCACAAAGGAACTCTTGCAGACACACGGTAACAGCACGGCCTTTGTGAGCTGGCTCTAACAGACACCATCTATCCTTAGCAAAGTTTTCAAGTTTTTTAAAATCTCACATAGCCTTCCCAAGGACCCCCAAGACTTACTGTTAAGATTCACACTTGAGACACACATTTCAACAATAATACAGTCCTGTAATTTATGAGCAAAAGATTTGAAATTTTCTCCTGTTGACTTACTTTGTATTAGTTGTTGAAAACCTGGAAGGCTACAATAAAAAATAAGACTCTAAAAGAGACCACACCAACAGGACAGAGCTACAGGATCTGCAGAAGTCTAGTTTTATTGAGGTGGGAAATAAAGTCCTCACCACACAGTTCTCAATTTCACCCCATTGCAATGAGAGCTTTCTGATCTGAAATTTAGGAACTTAAATCTTCAAGTCTAAAGGGAATTTTCTGCTCAAATAATGTTATTTTAAATGCTATCGCCTTCAGTATTAAAATATTAATCGGGAAGGCCTTACCCAGGGATTTTTGCAGTTGAATATTTATTTAAAAAGAGAAAACATAATATTCAGAACATTCTTAAAATGGGACAATCAGCCTCAAAGTTGATGTAAATAAAAAGATTACCCTAGAATTTGAGGCATTGTGATGTGAGGTTTCAAATTTTGAGATCAGTTTCCTGGCTTTCTGGAAACTAAAGCAGAAAGTTGTTACATTTTTTTTATGGAAGGCTTTTAGTAGAGTTTTTTAGAGTTTTATTTTAGTAGAGTTTTATTTCTATGCAATGCAGAATTGACCTCTGTATTCTTATATCTCTTCCTGGTACACAGTATTATTACAGTTTTTAAGCAAAGCTGATGCTTACAACAGTTTTTTGGGGGAATGTTACATTGATCTCTTAAATTATAAACACTACAAAAATGTCAAAATAATGAGAACTGACACAACTTTGCCTTAAAGAATATTAGACTGGAACTTGTCATGTTATGTTAAAGGAAGACTTAGAGTGTTCATTGATGTTTACGATTTTAATATTTATGAAGGCCGTTACAGTGGCCTGGATATGTGCTGAAAGCCAAACTTTTAAATTTTTTGGTTTTTTAAACAAAGAAATATTTTAAATAAATCCTATTTCAACACAGTGAAATTGTGGAAAACTGTCTCATAACAAAAGAAAAAAGTCATATTTAGGTTTTTTTGTTTTAATGGTCAGTATTGGAAATGAAAGTGTCTTTTGTCACCCTTATAACTATTTTGATAAATATTAGAGATTAGCATTAAATACAACAAAAAATTAAAACAAACTTTGAAGTATGACCTTCAAATTGAGGTAAATAAGTTCAGACATTGTGTGGCTGTGTTCCAGTCATCAAAGGTCTTAGAAAAATTCCCAGTTTCTTTGAAAGTATGTGTGTGGTGTGACATTTCCAATGAGGTCATTCCAAGTTGAGAATTGTAAAATGTAAATATGAGATACACAGGACACAAAGCTGCTGATCCATCAGATCTCTTCCCAAGTGAATCGCATACTTGGACTTGGGAATATTTGCTAGCAGCATTATGAATTTCTCTCCGAAAGCAACCAAAGTCAGTAGGCCTAAAAGAGCATTTTGCATTTCCTCAGAAGATGTCCTCACGTTAGAAACACAGATCAGACTGATCCTTTCAACTACTTAGTCGTTTTCCTGAAATCGTGGCTGTTTCCAAGTGCTGTGGCAACCAGGTAGGTGTGGCACCAGCCACTTTGCTTTATGTAGTCTGTTACATATTAAAGTTTCTAACCCCATTTTTATCTTCAAGAATGGGGAAAGTAGAATGTACAGATCAAAGTAGAATACAATGTTGGGATGAAACAACTATTTCATCTTTTTTTTTTTAAAGCAAAACTGTCAATTTTCTACCTTATTTTCTAATTTTTATTTCATGGTCATACTGAAAATAGGAAAATGTTTAAACATTAAAACTCCTAATTGTTAAAGAGCACTGAGGAAATGGGAGCTAGCACTTCTAATAAAACATTTATTTTTGAAAGCCGATATGTGATTGGGTATTTAAAAAAACCAGCATCATCTATATAATCTCCAAAAGATTACAGGAGTCAGGCTTGTTAATATAGTAGTTTGTAGGTTGAGTATTTTAATTCACTATATTTAGAATTCTATAAGTCCTTTATCACAAGAAGTCAACGTAGTTAGTTTACACTACACATCATGTATGGAGGCGCAGTAGCAGTGGCAGTAACTTTGCCTGACGTCACACAGCTGTAATGTGTTCCCTGTTTGAGCACAGGCTGACTGAGGCTCGCACTCATTCACTCACTCCAGTGTCTCTAGTGAGCACTTGCCAAGCGGGAATTGGGTTGCACCCTCCCCTCTTCACTCCCTGTCATTTTGTCACTCTTCCTGCTTTCATGGTGGTTTCTTTGATGCCTTGCTAGTTTTACTGATGGCGTTACCTGTTGAAGAGTCTTAAAGGTTATAAGGGAAACCATGTCCCTGCTCAGCTTGACCACCCATCTCAGAGGATAGCGCCTGTGGAACCTGATCCCATTGGCCATCCTTTCCAAAGGACAGATGACTCCCAAAGAATGAGTCAGGTGACATTTAAAGCCATGGGTTCTGAAGAGGCTCAATTATTGACAAGTCCCAAGGTTATGAAAGAAAGTATCTTTAATCAACATTCACAAAACGAAATACTGTGCTGGTTGAGGCCAAAGGTCAATGTTACTACACTGTTAATGGAGGGAGGGGAGTGCCAGTCGGGTATTGTAACAAGCCCCTCACATGGGTAAGTTTTTACATGCACAAGGACAAAGGCTTTGGTACTGAAACTGAAGACCTCGTATACTTAATCTTCACAGCTTCTATTGAACATAATTTTCTTTTTAGGAATGAAGGAAAAGTCTCCCATTTTTGAGCCATTCTTTTATGTCAGTTCTACAAAATTGCATGTAACTTTATAAATATTTTTTAAAAATATAGTTTTGTAAATATTTAATATTCTGCTAATTTGATTTTGAATTGTAAATGTCAAGTATTGTTTTTGGGGTTTTTATGTTTTATTATACTTTGTTAAAAAGGAAAAATTGTACATTTTTAGAATGTTTTTATGAGTAAATTTAATGTACTGAAAATAAAAAAATGAAAATAAAAACTTTCATTTTATTAGGTCTTTGCCTCAAATATGAAGCACACATCTTTTCAAATAATTCACAATTCTTGATCTCCAAACTAGGGAGTCAATCCTTTCTGCCTCCCCAGCTTTACAAAAGAAATACTTAGTCTTAAACGTGTTTTCTGTCAAGGTTCCCAGGTTTTTAACAAATACTCTTGGTATGGACAGAAATGTGAATTCTTGATTGGGGTATAAAGATGGTTTCATAACTATCAAAGTAGGTGTTAATAGATCTAAGCTTCTGTAAACATTCGCAAATGCATGGTGAATGTGCCCTACCATCTTAAGCTCTGTCCCTTGGATTTGGGAGGTTGGCAGTGGGAGTATGCCTAGAACTACATTTTTGTCATGAGCAGTGCCAAGCACTAGAGGGAGCTTTTTCCCTCTTTTTCATAAAGGTCCATAAGGCCTCTTGGTTTTTTCAGGCTACTGTTAGGTAAGTAACATGAGACACAGCTGGCAGCCCAATATGGAACACTTGCTCTTCCTCTGGAGATGTGGGACATGTACACATCTGCTGAACAAGAAACTCGGGGAAGCAGAGTATTTCCTCAACCCACTCCCTGTACTCTTTCTTCTACAAACACTGCAGTGCCTACTTGAATTTGAGCTGGGTCCAGGTCCAGAGTTTTCCAAATCAGTAACACTGGCCACTACTTGCCTGGTTGTTTGCATTATATCTTTACCTGATGCGGCTCCCCAGTAAACTAAGGTACCATGAGTCATGCCTTCCTGACTGCGTATACTAGTACACACTCTATACCTTTGTGTTTATTTTACTTTGTTCATTCAGAGCAATATGTTTTCAAGTGTGTGTTCCCACAAAACACCTACGTCCCACATCCATCCTCCTCCTCTGTGGCATAGAGGTTCTCAGGACAGTTTTGTAAGACAAGACCAGGTGGCAGAGCCTTGACCACAGTGAAGAAGATGCCCCTGACAGGAGGCCTTCAGAGGTGTCACTCCCCCCACCTGCTCCCCCAGCACAGCAAAACCAGCCTGGATGCTGCTTGTTAGGAAGGGTATTGTTTGGCTTTGGCTAGTACAGACAGTATGCAGGACTGCAGGTCTCAAACACTGATCCATTAAATTGAGCTTTAATGACAGTTTTTAGTTGTGCCTTTATTCACCTTAGTTCATTTAAAAATGTACTTGTTTTAAAGATCCTATAAATATAGAGTGACTACCCACTAACGTGGGATATGTCACCCCTCTCAGCATGGTATTGTTTTTTAAAAAGCAGAATTTCTTATAGGAATCTTATCGATCACACAGTAGTTACAAGAATGTCAGATATAGTGACATACAATCTAAACAAGACAGGCCGATTAAGAATGTACATAATGTAAAAATATACATATTAAAAGTTAGCCATGTAGACAGACGCATGCAGCAGTAGGGGTAGGTGATAGGAGGTTGGGGGGTGAGAGCCCATACGCAGTAATATTGCCTAATCCCAACATTATAGTAAATAATTTCCACTAACTGATACAAGTATTCCATACACATCTAAACACACAAAGGCAAATCATGACCTGCTACATATAGTCTAAAGTGGTCTGTGATCTTTTTGTGATTATTTCCATGAAAATAGTAAATAGTCATGCAGGTAGTAGGAAGTATTGGTTATTCTGGTTGGACTTGGGAAATGTTTAACTTTTTGACATTAATATCTGTGAAGAGAATATATCTCCTTTTACTGCTTTCTTCACAATTGACATGCGCTTAGAGTGGGGGAATTTCAATGGTGGTTTGACCTAACAGTGATGACTGAAATACTCTTTAAAAAATGTAACTTTTTAACAACATATTTTAGTCACACACTTAACATAAAACATGGATCATCTGCAGGATTCTGTAGTTTCTACCACTGTCCTAAAGAATGAAACTGATACAAGTGCTTGTTTATTTACCAAAGCAGGCACTATTTTGAGCTCTGTGATCAGAGAATATCCAAAACAGAAGAAATGTCACTTTTTTCCTCTGGGCCTTTTGAGAAACTTGGCCAAAATAAATTATTCAAGGTTCCCCCTGAGCAGTGGTGTCATCATGTATGTTACTGTCTGGAGAACAAACAAGAACTTCTAACAGTGCAAGAGCGTTGCCTTGGGTACACTTGATAGGAATCAGGAACCTTTAACAGCAGTTCACCGTTTTCTTATACACCTCCATTTAGCCTGTATTATGGCAAATGTGTTTGGGGGGCTATGCTTGAGATTTCTCTAGTTGGATAGAAACCCTTCAATAAGAAGTTGGCAGGTTCTGACTTACTGTCTCTGAATGCTCAAAATGCAAGTTCCTATTGGGGAAAGAACATTAAAATAACTTGAAGATCTATCTTATTGGTAAGTTAGAATGCAAAGTATTTTATTTTTAAACTTTGAAACAAGACAGCCTAGGTTAAATAATATAGTTTTCCAAAGCTGAATGTGCTCGCTTGGAGCTCAGTTTTTCTGCTTAAAGTACAAAAACAACTTTCTAAAACTCCTAGGCCAGACACTACTGTTTTGATGATCTGTGATTTAGATGAACAGATCCAATCTCAGTTGGTAACATCCCTTTTTTCCCCGTTGGTAAGGGTTTAAAAAATTCTAGAACAGATGCATTTTTCTAGTCTTACAGTGACAATTTCATTCCAAATGTCTCCTGAGAGGCGTATACCATATACAGGAATCCATCTTCATCCTTCTCACTTTCATACACTTCCGATATCGGTGTGGACACACTCACCATGCTGTGCCCATTCACTAACAGGAAGAAGGCTTGATTAGCGTTGAGCTGTAAGCGCCTTCTATTGAAAGAAAATGTGAAAAAATATTGATACATCAATAAGTAGGGAACATATGTAAAAATATCACCCACTAATTGATTTTAAAAGTATAAAGATTTTGTAAATGCTGCTTCTGGCAAAATTAAGTGTATACCTTACCAATGATGACTAATAGTTCTTCTCATAAAGCACAAGACATTTTCTATGATTATATTCATGATCAATATTAGTGATAATCCTTAAGTTATTCTTACTACCTTCTTGAGTTTTAAACTATTATGCTGTCTGAAGAGTGTCATTAGTGTCCAAAATGTGAGAAAAATAGTTCAAAATATTTACAAACTAAGACCTAAGCTGGTACAATTTATTACCACTATACCAAATCTGAATTCTTAATTTTGCTACACAAAACTTGTAACTTTTCTGATTAAAGGACATCTAAACTAGATGTTATGAAAGGATCAGATAAAAAATATAAAAAACTAAGAAATGAAACATCTTATGGTTTTATTAAGCTTGAATAATTTTAATCAGAACTAAAGATTTATCTGTAAGTGTGATAAAGAATAAGAACTTAGCCCAGCTGGTGTGGCTCAGTGGTTGAGCATCAACTCATGAACCAGGAGGTCAGAGTTCTATTCCCATCAGGACAAACCCGGGTTGTGGGCTTGGTCCCCAGTAGGGGGCATGCAAGAGGCAGCCAGTCAATGATCCTCTCTCATCATTGATGTTTCTCTCTTTCCCTCTCCCTTCCTCTTTGAAATCAATAAAAACATATTTTTTTTAAAAAAGAAGTAGTAAAGCCCCGGCTGGTGTGGCTTGGTTCGAGTATCAGGACATCCCCTACACCAACAGGTGGTGGGTTCACCCTAGCTGGTTTGACTCAGTGGATAGAGCATCAGCCTGCCAACCAAAGGGTCCCGGGTTTGATTCCGGTCAAGGGCACGTACCTTGGTTGCAGGCTCCTCCTTGGCCTAGGCCATGGTCAAGGCTCGTGCAGGAGGCAACCAATCAATGTGTTTCTCTCACATCGATGCTTCTCTCTGTCTTTCCCTCTCTCTTCCACTCTCCCTAAAAATCAATGGGAAAATATCCTCAGGTGAGGATTAACAACAACAAAAAAGGTGGTGGGTTCGATTCCCGATCAGGGCACATACCCAGATTTTGGGTTCGGTCCCAGTGGGGCACACGCGGGAGGCAACCGATCAATGTTTCTCTCACATCAATGTTTCTGTTTCTCTCTCTCCTTCCTTTCCCCCACCTCCCCTCCTAAGATAAAAAATAAAATAAAATAAAAATGAGTTACCTAAAGAAAAAAACAAAAAGGTGATTACCTAATTATCTTGATGAGTTCACTCATGTTGACATGATCAGGTACAAGAAACTTGGTTTTATCCAGGACAGGAAGCTGCTTCTCACCCTTGTATCGTTCTATTATCACCTAGTAATGAAGCCAGAAATGTGATTTTAAAATAGTCACTAAGAGAGAAAAATAAAATACTTCCTATGTTTGTAACTGTCACATTTGTTAGTTTCCTCATAGCTCTATATCTCTTATAAAATGGTACACAAGAGACAAAGTAGCTCACTCCAAGGGGGTGAGCAGGTTGGAGGAAGAAACTGCTAAGTATTTTGTTATTTGGAACCATGAAAATATACTACCTAGTCAGAAAAAGACCCTAAGTTTCAGAACAGAGGCTGGTAGCAGCTTAAGTGTAAAGATATGAATCTGTATCAATTCTAATACCACCATTTCCACCAAACCTTAATAAAAGTGTTAAGGTTTTTTTAAAATTTATTTTTATTGATTTCAGAGAGGAAGGGAGAGGGAGAGAGAGATAGAAATATCAATGATGAAAGAATCACTGATTGGCTCCCTCCTGCACACACCACACTGGGGATCAAGCCTGCAATCCGGGCATGTGTCCTGACCAGGAATCAAACTGTGACCTCCTGGTTCATAGGTCAATGCTCAACCACAGAGCCACACCAGCTGGGCTAGACTCAGTTTTTTTTTTATATTAGAGACATGTTTCTCTATTTGACATGAAAATAATCCTAAGTAAATATTTGATAAGTAGAGGTCAAATCTTCAATTTGTTACTTGAAGATTTCTTTCATTTTGATAAAATATTCTTGCTATTTCTTTAATAAGTATTAAAGTCAAGAATCTTGAAATATGCAGGAAACAAAAATGGTTTCACATTATGAACTGAAATAAATCCCTTAGCTCCTTGCCATACTTCCTTTCTGTAGAGAAGAAGAAAAAAAAGTGAAGCTGTCATCACCTTCCTTGTTTAAATGATGAGTTTATCTATGGCTGTGTGTTCAGAACATGATATCCACAAGGAAGAATCAGTGGATAGAGTACACCTGCCTAGATTTAAGTGGTAGCAGAAATCAGAGCCAATACAGAAATCATAGGTTCTTGGCCCAGAAAGAAGCAGAAGTAAGGAATGAGAAGAAAAAATTCAAGATCTTACAATCCTTTGTTAAAGGAACACACAGCAGTCTGGAAAATGCTAGATAAGATGACTTTGGGTACCTTCTGCTTTCAGCTGCTGAGTCTGGTCTGCTTGGGGAGAAGCTGTTCTAGCTGCTTCTATTCACTATTTGGTGGTGATATCCATGAAAATTCAATTACCTAAAATGATTGGTTTACTTTTCAGTTCTTATTTCTTTAAATTTTTCCTTTGACTCTTCCAATTGGGGAGACCAGATGCATAACTCATAATAAGGCATTTTACTAAATCTGAAAGTACCTTCTCAAATTTTCATTTAATGGTAAGGGCTATGGACAGGAGCACAGAAAAAAAAAGTCACCACTGGGGAATGAAGAGTGGAGGACCAGGGAACTGCCTGTGCCTTGTCCGTCCATCCACCCATTGGATTCTCAACATGTGAGTGGCTGTGAGTCTGCTTCTCAAACTTGTGCAGTGAGTCACAAACACAAGGGAGTACAAATATGTGATTTCTGCAAAAAACCTGAAACTACTAACAGAAAAGATGACTTTTAATGTACACAGATATTCCATTTCAAAAGGATTCTGTAGAACTAATTCTGGCAGACATTTGGGCTAGCTATTTGTTTCCAAGGGGTAGCACCTGTTAGTAAATAAATATAGCAGGTACTCAAAAGTAAAAAACCAAAACAAAACAACAAAAACACTTAAAATTAAGGTAATTCCCCAGAAGGCTCACCTCTAAGCCATATGTTAACCCCAAGTACAAGGACATATTATTGTGAAAGCTCCAGCCAGTCCAACCAGAACATGTCTTTTACTATAGAATCCTACAGGTGTGAAACTGCTGAGCAGACCCATCTTATTATCTTTTCTGTACACTTTACAGCCCCCCCCCCCCCCCCCCCCATGGATCTTTCATCTTCTTTTTCCTACTTTGGTATCAGATGACCAGTCATGAAAGCTTCTATAGAATTTAGCAGTGGAGTTTCTTTTTTTTCTTTTTTTTTCTTTTTTAATCCTCACCCGAGGACATATATTTTTTCCCATTGAAGAGAAGAGGGAGGGAGAGGGGGAGGAGAAAACAGAGAGGGAGATAGACAGACATGGATTGGTTGCCTTCTGCACACGCCCGACCAGGACCGGGGATTGAACTTGCAACCCAGGTAATGCCCTTAACTGGGAATCGAACCCGTGACCCTTCAGTGTGCGGGCTGACACTCTTAACCACTTAGCAACATGGCCAGGGCTGCATACATTATTAACCACTGAAACATACATAGGTATCTAAAACTACCTACCGGGATTTTGGTCGGATGCTGCTCTCGGATAAGCCGGACATCTTCTACTCTTTGTTCTGCAATGAAAAGAGATATAGGGATTATTAAGGGCCCTAATGCAGCTTGTTTCCTGCATTTTTGCTGGTTGAGTTCTTTATCTGAATTCAGCTATCTTTATCTGTGGTAGAGCAAAACAGTAGACGCATCTTCTAGAATTGAAAGAAACCAAGCACTAACACTTCCTATCTGGCAAAGGTTGGTATGTGAGGCCAAGGGCAATTATATGGAAACCAACATGCAATTAATTACATGGTTTTATCAGGAGTTATAAAACCAGAGAGAAAAAAGAATGCCCTATTTGAGTTTAAATAGTTTTGTACAGTGCCCCAAATAAACACAAAGTCTACTGTTGAATACTTTTTTGAGAATATCTCTGTATTCTCCCCCTTAATATAATCACTTACTTATATTTTCAACTATTGTATTAGGCTGTCTGGAGAATATACGGGGGGAAAAATAAGCCAAGTCCAGTTCTCAATAAGGTGACAATATAATTGGAGGGACATGTCATATATACAGCAATACATGAACATATGATCAAGATGGCATTAATTAAAACCTAACAAAAATTTATAAAATCACCTTGATTTACTATGGTAGGATTCATTCTCATGGTATATATTTGCAAATAAATGATCAATGTAATGAACTTCCTGAGAAAGTGCTCATACTAGTAGCTCCAGAAAAAAAGATGCTATGACCTATATAAATATGAATTTATTTTAACATCACTGCCATTTTGGTTTGGATTTTTTTTAAAAATTAGTATTCTCCATAAAAACTATTGAATTCCCATATTCAAATATGAACATAAGTTCTATTTCTATTTTCCCATCCAACATTTCTACATCAGCTCTAAAGATAAACTACTAAATAAAAACATATTTGCCCCTGGTCCATGTGGCTCAGTGGTTGAGCATCGACCTATGAACCAGAAGGTCACGGTTCAATTCCCAGTCAGATTTGCAGGCTTGATCCCCAGTGTGGGGAGTGCAGGAGGCAGCCAATCAATGATTCTCTCTCACCACTGATGTTTCTATTTCTCTATCCCTCTCCCTGTATGAAATCAATAAAAACATATTAAAAATAAAAACATATTTGCTATAGACAGAGACGACTGCAAACTCATTGATTCTTCCCAGTGCATATTCTTATTCAATACAGGAGGATAAACATAAATTTAGCTATTATTAACAGTGAATTTAACCTATTGGTTTTCACCTGTGACATTGTGACTTATAACAAGAAATACATATTTGGTCCTGGCACAGAGCTCCCAAAACCCTTGGATTTTCCTATATGAGTGATAAAGATCTTTCCTTATTCATAATAAGCCCCTTTCAACCACACCTGAGTTTATGTTAATGAGGTGATTTTGAGAAAGCCTTTTAAGGGTGGGGGCTGGTTGCCAGGGGACCAACAAAGATTAGAGCAGTGGTTCTCAACCTTGGCTGCACATTAGAATCACCTGGGAATCTTTTTAAAATCCTGATTTCTGGGCCTCATCCTCCGGAAATTCTGTTTTTTTGTTACTAATGTTGTGGCCCCACCCCATAACAAAGAAACAGAATTTCTGGAGGATGAGGCCCAGAAATCAGGATTTTAAAAAAGATTCCCAGGTGATTCTAATGTGCAGCCAAGGTTGAGAACCACTGGATTAGAGGGTTTAAACATTCAGCCTCTCTCCCTGACCACCTGGGAAAAGAGAGGTCAGCTGGTCCGAAGCACAGGTAACAACCTGCACTTGCAATTAGTGACTGAAGTGTTAGTGAGGGAGGGGCAGTCTTGCGGGACTGAGTCCTTAACTTGCTGGATCTGAGGCTATCACCAGGGACATAGTGTTAGAATTGAGGTAAACTGTAGGACACCCAGCTGAACTGCTTCATGTGTGGGAAACCCACATGTCTCGTGTCAGAAGTGAAGTATTTAGTAGGATACTGAAAATAGAGGAGACATACAGAAGGAGGAGTTTTTTCTTTTTCTTTTTTTTTAAATATATTTTATTGATTTTCCACAGAGAGGAAGGGAGGGGGACAGAGAGCCAGAAACATCGACGAGAGATAAACATCGACCAGCTGCCCTTCCGCACACCCCCAACTGGGGACGCGCCCGCAACCAAGGCACATGCCCTTGACCGGAATCGAACCTGGAACCCCTCAGTCCGCAGGCTGACGCTCCATCCACTGAGCCAAACCGGCCAGGGCAAGGAGGAGTTTTTTCTTTACATTATCCTTGGAAACCTCATTGCTCTAAGACCTGTCCCTATGACTCTCCCATCCAAGAAAAGGTACTCTACCATCAGCCCTCTTCACAACAAAAATCTCCATATTGTCAGGGTAAATTATTTCAGAGGCTAGGGGAAATCAGAATTCACTCTAGCAAGTGGATGATAACTAATATACATGGGAATGTGTTCCTTATTTAAAAGCTTGTCCTAATGAATCTACAAAGTAAGTGAAAACATTTAGGCATAGCCCAGCTAGCGTGCTTGAGCACTGACCTATGAATCAGAAGGTCATGGTTCGATTCCCGGTCAGGGCACATGCCCAGGTCGTGGGTTCGATCCCCAGTGGAGGGCATGCAGAAGGCAGCCAGTCAATGATTCTCATCATTGATGTTTCTATCACTCCTTCTCCCTTCCTCTCTGAAATCAATTTTTTAAAAAATATGTAAACAAGCAAACAAAAAACATTTAGGCATAAGGGAAAGATTTTTTTATATAGGAAACTGATTTATTTTGGTAAATGAAGAAAATCAAAATAGGTTCTAAATGAGAGGCTTCAAAGTCAAGAAACTATAGTGTCAAAAGTTTTCATTATCTTGATTTATCCCCAAAATATGGCCATAAAAGGAAGACAAAAAAATGATTATTTTTATTAAAGACAAGTGACTTCTTTAAGGTGAAAAGAGTAGCATAGGAATGTCTTTAGTGTCTTGGCCAGGTGCCTGAAGCAACTGAGTAAATATGGTATATGCTGATACCTCTCTTATTGATTTTAGAGAGAGACGAAGGGAGAGAGAAACATCAATGTGAGAGAGAAACAGCCATCGGTGGCTTCCTGTACACCCCCTACTGGGAATGGAGCCCACAACCTGGGCATATGGCCTGACTGGGATTCAAACCAATGACCTCTTTGTGCATAATAAGTATTTCCTCAATCTGTTTATAAATCATAAACGTAATATCCAACCCATCGTGGCGTGCTACCCAGGTTTTGGCATAAGTCTCTCTCCAGTCTACCTATTAGAGTAGTTGAAGCTATTTTAGACCAATACAAACTTCCCCTGAGACATGCAAACAGTTTCATTATTTTTAAATATTTATTTATTTAAAAGAGTTTTTGTTCACTTTTAGAGAGAGAAGAAGGGGGAGGGAGGGAGAGAAACATGGATGTCAAAGCAAAACATCAATCGGCTGCCTCTTGCACACCCCAAAATCTAGGCAAGCACCCTGACCTGGAATCCAAGTGGCAACCTTTCAAGTGCCAAGACAACCCCCAACTGAGACACACCAGCCAGGGCCTAACCCTTTGATTATTAATGGAGAAGCTTAAGACCTAAGTTTACCATTGAATCTCAGCAGAACAGTGTATGGGAAACAGTTCTGATATTAAATAAGCTGGCCAACTCCAGAAGAAAATGGAGTGAAATTATTACAACATTTGAGGAGACTGAATCCAACACTGTTTGGTCAAATACAACTTTTCAAATGTATTATATTTTTCAAAACATCTGCAAGGATTCACTATGCATCTCGACTCAGAGTGTTGATCATGTATTGGAAATGATGGCTCCCTACCAGAGATGGAAGAAAATCATCTCTCAAGTTTAAAAGGACAAGTCCAGACTCTGCCACTAGGTGGACCATGTTCTTCACCTCTCTGGGCCCCACCCAATTTCTTCAGCTACAAAAGGGGTGGTTTGGGGTGGGCCCAACTCTCTCAATCATAGAAAAAGACATCAACAGAGCTATATTCAACTTTAAACTAACTTAAACTCACTCACTTGGAAAGAGAGAGAGAACTGCTCAAGCTAACTGAGGCTGGTCTTAGATTCTACAGTACAGAGGTTCTCACAAAAGAATTAATTCCCCTCATTTACTGTGCTACAAATCTCTGAAAACTCAATTATCAGTGCTGTTATGAAAATCAGGAGCAAAGAAAGGTAGTAGTTATTAAGAGATATTTGATACTTTTCTGCAAAATGACTATTAAAGAGATCTTAGAAAAGGGGGTGGGGAGGAAAGGTTAGGTAAGGGGAAAGCAGATACAATATATGGAGTGGGCAAAAGTAGGTTTACAGTTGTATGAAAAACGGCATGCAGATTATGATTATCACAACAGCTTTATTAATACAAAATAATGTCGTAATGGCACAGTAAACCTTTTTTTGCCCACCTTGTATGTAAGATACACTACTGGGAAGGGAGTGAGGGAAGGGGCGTTCCTGCTTGTTTACTTCCAGAGTCACAGGTTCCAGGTGAAATCCTTCCAATTAATTAGAACCTATTTCTCCAGAATAACTTAAAAATCCTTTAAGCAGAGGAAAGTATAGTTTCAGTCATGAGAAAATGGGCATCTTTCCCACACAAATGTCCCCAGTTAACTTTCAAATGCCAGAGTCAGTGAGGATGGAAGCCAGATACTGCAAATCTGCTTTAAATGCCGCTCTTAGGGTTGCAAAAAAGCTAAATAACAGTAAGAGGTCACTAAGATCTCTAAAGGGAAACGTTCTAATTAAAAAGGCACGTCTAAGTCTTCTTGACCAACAAACTACCTAAGGAGTTGTTTGGAAAGATATGCTCAGCAGGCCAACATGCATTTCATTTACTGAACTTCTCGGGC